AGAAAATTTTGTTTGTGTTTGTGACGATGTTAGAACATTTTGTTTGTACTTGTGACGATGTTAGAACATTTTGTTTGTGCTTGTGGCGAAGTTAGAAATTTTTTTAGCGCAACGTTCCTGTTTTCAAGAACGTTTTTTCATTTTGGTTTGAACGTTTGTCCGCTGATCATGTGGGTTTGTTTGTGTTATTTCGCACAAACGTATATGTGTAAGTCTGTCTTTTTTTCTATCTGTGTTGGTCTCTGCCTACCTGTATAGATATAGACTGTCTATACATTATACAGATACTGTCTATATGTATACGTGCGTATCTATATGTGTGTGGCTATATATAGCTTCAGTAGAAGAGCCAAGTTCGTAGTGTCAAGTTCTCTGTATTAATCGAACATAAATTTTTTGTCATATTTGACATTTTTGTCAAGTTTACCCTCAACCAACCACTCGACAGGAAGAGATTCTTCCGCTGGTATTCCCAATTATCTTTTATCGGATAATCTGATATCTTGGTCTCTTGTTTTGATTTAGTGATGGGCCCCAAGGCCTATACCAAGCAAGCTGTTCCCTGTGGATCCCTTCCCATACTGTCGTCCGCATGCGTCATAGAACCTGATGCCTTAGCCAAAGCATGTGGTCTTAGGCCTGGGAGGCCTGGTCGAGGACCGGGCCGCGGGGACGCTAAAGCCTCGAAATCATCTCAAGATAACCTCAAGATGGGGTCCACCACCGCCCTCGGGATGGGTATGGGGTCCACCACCGCCCTCGGGATGGGTATGGGGTCCACCACCGCCCACGGGATGGGTATGGGGTCCACCACCGCCCACGGGATGGGTATGGGGTCCACCACCGTCCACGGGATGGGTATGGGGTCCACCACCGTCCACGGGATGGGTATGGGGTCCACCACCGTCCACGGGATGGGTATGGGGTCCACCACCGTCCACGGGATGGGTATGGGGTCCACCACCGTCCACGGGATGGGTATGGGGTCCACTATGGGTTCTCAGACTGTCACCCACACGGCTCCATCGTGAGATCTTGAGGTTATCTTGAGATGATTTCGGGGCTTTAGTGTTCCCGCGGCCCGGTCATTAACCAGGCCACCACCCCCAGGAAGTAGCCCGTGACAGCTGACTAACACCCAGGTACCTATTTTACTGCTAGGTAACAGGGACATAGGGTGAAAGAAACTCTGCCCATTATTTCTCGCCGCCCGGGATCGAACCCGGGACCACAGGATCACAAGTCCAGTGTGCTGGACGCTCGGCCGACCGGCTCCCGTGCAGACACCGGTGGACAGAAGTCCGTCCCGCACCCTGGTGGGGGGAGGCCACAGAGCTCAGGGAGAAAGTGAATGACCTCCCGCCTGTGTAAACTCTTGGGGGAGGGAGATGACCCTGGGGCTAGTACTCCTGGTGGTGCACGCGCGCACACGCATGCTCTCTCTCTCTCTTTCTCTCTCGCTCTTTCTTTTTTTTTTTTTTTTTTTTTTTTTTTTGAGATATATACAAGAGTTGTTACATTCTTGTACAGCCACTAGTACGCGTAGCGTTTCGGGCAAGTCCTTAATCCTATGGTCCCTGGAATACGATCCCCGCCGCGAAGAATCGTTTTTTCATCCAAGTACACATTTTACTGTTGCGTTAAACAGAGGCTACAGTTAAGGATTTGCGCCCAGTAAATCCTCCCCGGCCAGGATACGAACCCATGACATAGCGCTCGCGGAACGCCAGGCGAGTGTCTTACCACTACACCACGGAGACTGCTATGCTTCTGCTTCTCTTTCTCTCTCTCTCTCTCTCTCTCTCTCTCTCTCTCTCTCTCTCTCTCTCTCTCTCTCTCTCTCTCTCTCTCTCTCTCTCTCTCTCTCTCACACACACACACACACACACACACACACACACACACACACACACACACACACACACACACACACACACACACACACACACACACACACACACACACACACATATATATATATATATATATGAAAATAGTCCTGGGGACCATTCAGGCTTGTTCGCATATATATATATATATATATATATATATATATATATATATATATATATATATATATATATATATATATATATATATATATATATATATATATATATATGATCACTACCTACACAATTCTCAGAGGAATTGACAGGGTAGATAAATATAAACTGTTTAACACGGGTGGTACACGAACAAGGGGACACAGGTGGAGACTGAGTACCCATATGAGCCACAGAGACGTTAGAAGGAACTTTTTCAGTGTCAGAGTAGTTAACGGATGGAATGCATTAGGAAGTGATGTGGTGGAGGCTGACTCCATACACAGTTTCAAATGTAGATATGATAGAGCCCAGCAGGCTCAGGAACCTGTACACCAGTTGATTGACAGTTGAGAGGCAGGACCAAAGAGCCAGAGCTCAACCCCCGCAAGCACAACTAGGTGAGTGCAGCCTTGCTGCTGAGTGGATAGCGCCTGGGGATCGTAGTCCTAATGGCCCGGGTTCGATTCCCGGCGGAGGCGGAAACAAATGGGCAGAGTTTCTTTCACCATGATGCATCTGTTCACCTAGCAGTAAATAGGTACCTGGGGCTAGATTCACGAAACAGTTACGGAAGCACTTACTTACGTATACATCTTTCCTCAATCTTTGACGGCTTTGGTTACATTTATTAAACAGTTTACAAGCATGAAAACTTGCCAATCAACTGTTGTTTTTGTTATAAACAGCCTCCTGGTGCTTCGGAGCTCATTATAACTGTTTAATAATGATAAACAAAGCCGCAAAAGATTGAGGAAAGATGGATAGGCTCGTAAGTGCTTGCGTAACTGTTTCGTGAATCTTGCCCCCCCCTGGATTATAACTATAAACAACGCACTATCGCCAGGGAATCCATGATAAAGATTAAGCCACCCAAAAGGTGGCACTGGCATGAATAGCCCGTAAGTGGTGGCCCTTTTGAGCCATTACCAGTATCGAGAGCTGATACTGGAGATCTGTGGAGGTGCGACTGCACCCTGCGTGACGGGAGATGTCTCCCGTGACCAGGGAATCCTATACAAAGCCTATAAATATCACAGTGGCAGGAGTCACATCCGTTGTTTTTCCAGTCTAATGTGTTTCCAATCTTGGGGAATATAGACGGGAATCAAACTAAAAAAAAAACTATCGTTCAGACATGTGTTAGAACTCAAATTTTGATTCACTCAAATTCAACTCAAATTCAGTGATTCACTCAAATCAAAAATTTTGATTCACTGATTTTTTTTATTCAAAGGTAAGACTGCTTTGTTTATCTGTGGGAGCCCAACCTGTCCTAGAAATGACAGCAATTCTTATCTTGAGATAATTATAATTATTATTTTGTAGCACTTGTTTGGTAGAACGTACCAAAATGGGCGTACCAACTTTAAGATAACCCCTCAATAACATAGGCGTCTAACTTTATAATGACTCTTGTGCGGCTCTCAAGAGGTACAGAATTCCTCACACACCTCCTTATCGTACATCTAGAAGGTGAAGGGACGACGAAAGGTCCAGGACGGACCGAAACGTCGTCGTCCCTTCATCTTCTAGTGTGTGATTTGGTACAGAATGATGGACTCCATCTTGCTATCAACTGCTTAGTATATAATTAAAAAGTATGAAAGTAAACTTATTAACCATGAGCGGCTCTAAGTTAGTTAAACCACGTTGTGAATCCTTTATTTATGCATGTTTTTAAAGACGTTAACAAATGGATTTTGCTATGATCGATTCAAGTAACTTTGCTTCAGTAAACATTAAGCTAATTGGATGATAGTTCAATGTAAATTATCTATCTCCCATCTTTAAAATCGGCACCACGTTGGCAACCCTCCACGACTCCGGGATCCTACTCGACTTTTCTGATGCATTAAATCTTCAAGACAAGATTCCCAAACGCTCTGGTTTGCTTTCTTCGTCTGGCCCTGCGCAATCGTGAAAATACAATTCAGTTGTGCTGGGTATTTCAGAACTGGCGCTTCAGGTATTCATTGACTGACCTGTCTTTCAGTGTGGTGAGCCAGGAGTGTCCCCCGTGCGATGTAGAGTCCTGCAAGAGCTTCGTCCATAGTGACTGTCCCTGGGGCTTCCTGAAGGACCGGTGTGCCTGCTGCCATATTTGTGCAAAGGTAAGTCTTTCGTCTGTAGGGGTTCAAGCCGAGGCGTCCTAAAGGAACAGTGAAGGGCCTGAACAGTGATCTGTGAGACGATATATAAGTCCTAAGTCCGTGGAAGACTCCTCCTGTCACACCCTGAAGGAGCAGTGCTGGCATGTCAGTGCCAGAGTATGGCCACTACTGGATTTTGAGTAGTTAATTTTTTTTTTTTTTTGTATATGCAAACACTTTGCTCATACGAAAAAGGTGTTTCCAAATTTCAAATGAAAGGAATTTTTTGTTTTCCTTATGTCATGTAGTGTGTCGTTGTGGGTGACTAAGTAAAGGACTGTATGTTACAGTCCAGTTCGGCGGCACCAACTGGTGACTTGAGTACAACTTTACGTTTTTTTTTCCAGATTCGTCCATCCCCCCTTTTTTTTCCTTTAAAATGAAAGAACTATTGAGTCGGAGCTCTTCCTCGCACTCCTCAGGAAGCACACACACACACACACACACACACACACAGGCACACACACACGGTTGAGAGGCACCACACACACACACACACACACACACACACACACACACACACACACACACACACACACACAATGCCTCCCCAAGTTGGGGAGGCATTAATTTAGGAAGAGTATATATATTTAAGAAACTGTAAAGTTACGTAACTTAAAGAATGTGAGAGTATACTACACGTTCTTATAATGTGTCGGATGATATAATGTTGTTAACCATGTTAAAGACTGTACCTCTCTCAACCAGTTTAAGTTAAAAACGAAGCTATACCTAATAAATTCCCTGTAACTCACCTTACCCCTCTGTTGTCAACCCATGTATGTTTCTTGTTTTTTTTTGTTTTTCAAATCAACGCTGTTTGAATGTAATTTTCTGTAATAATTTGTAATTGTATTTGTGCTGCTTTTTCAACAATGTTCCCCCCCTCTTTTACCTCTATTTTTATTTGTACTCAACACATCTTATTCTTTTTACCCATTAGTTTTAAGCTTTAGTCATTAATGTTTTTCCTGCCCGAAACGCTTTGCGTAATAGTGGCTTTAGGCATTGTATGTACTAGCTCTATCTATAAAGCCAACAAACTTTGTAAAATCTCTTTATGTATGTACCTTACCTAAATAAAATTATTATTATTATTATTATTATTTTTATTATTATAATAGTTCAATATTATTATATCAGTATTATTGACAATTAAGTGCTCGTCGCTCGCTCAGTCAGGTTAAGCACCGTTGGATCTGGCAAATAGTTGTATGAGTGATTACGTCGATACAGACTACCTTTTAGCAATAGGGATCTCGACCATTATATACGAATTTTATTTAAGTCCACCATGACAGCTGTGTGACCTTGCCGTCATCAGCTGTTTTCTGTAAACATTGTATTAAAGAAAACCCAGAATATTTTATGGTATACTATTTAAATTAAAGAAACTTGGGAACTTGCTAGCTAAAGCCATATTGATATGGGCGATGTTATCCGAGACAGGACGATCTTCAAATTAGCTTTTACAGATTCTCGTAACCAAGGGTGAGGATCGTAACCATGCGTGAATGTGATCACGCATCCAACTACTGGCCAGACCCAAAAGTACTTAACCTGCCACGGCAGTGAGTATCTATGGTTCAAAACCTGAGGAAAATTTGAGCTGTCTGCGTCATCGCTGTGCTGTAAATACACCAAACATGGCCTAACCTATCATATCCCAACTTATTCTAACCAAAACTTGTATTACAATTTTGTTTATATATTATATATAATTATATCATATTGTTATTATTATAATTATTATATAGTGCGCATCAGGTGTGACATCATTATGACGTCACAGTATTGATGCCGGAACGGGGTTTGGATCCTACTACGTCATTGGCCATGAGTAATTAATGTCTATATATTGGTTCTATAAGTTCGAGAATAGGAACATTATTACTATATGGAAGGGAAGGGAACTATCAAGGGGAAGCGCCAAGCCATTACGACTATATAGCACTTGGAAGGGGTCAGGATAAGGATTCTGCCCGAAACGCTGCGCGTACTAGTGGCTTTACAAGAATGTTATTACTATGCTATGTATCCTCACAATCCCAATGTACCTTCTTGTGTATATATATATATATATATATATATATATATATATATATATATATATATATATATATATATATATATATATATATATATATATATATATATATATATATAAATACAAGAAATAAATAAATTTGGGATGGGGCGGTTCTTATATTCAAAGAGTTCTTACATTCTTGTACAGCCGCCAGCGCGCGTAGCGTGTCGGGTAAGTCCTTAATACTAATGTTCCCTGGAATACGACCCGTCAAATCGTTTAACAAGCAAGTACCCATTTTACTGCTGGGTGAACAGACGCTACAGTTGAGGATTGGCGCCCAGTCAATCCTCCCCGGTCAGGATACGAACCCAGGCCAAAGGGCAAATAACGAGTGTTTTACCACTGCGCCACGGGGACTGCTAAATGCCAAAACGCTGCCGAATTTCAAAATCCAGCTGGACAGAATTATCCTGATAAATGGTCGAAGACTTTCAGTCAAGCTTTCGGCAACTTGTCCTCGTCGAGGCCACTAGAGAGCTCGTGGCCCTCAGGTAAATCAGGTAAATATATCTCCTCTATAATTTGGTTTATCATTTCTTCCAAATCAAAATGCATAATGTTGTTTTATTCTTGTTTATATGTAATTATAGAGAGGGGGGGGGGTCTCGGTAGCACAGTCGGGTTCGTTCGCGACTCACAATCAGGAATTCCGGGTTCGAATACTGGGCGGAACACATACGGTTGGGCATGTTTTGTTCCTCTGTTCACCCAGCAGTGAAAAGATACCTAAGAGTTAGTCAGCTTATTATTATTATTATTATTATTATTATTAACTCCCAAGTGAATTCCCAACACTTATTTCTGACGGGGGTGCCACAGGTCCGTTCCTCTGTTCCACAGGTCCGTTCCAATGTTCCACAGGTCCGTTCCTCTGTTCCACAGGTCCGTTCCAATGTTCCACAGGTCCGTTCCAATGTTCCACAGGTCCGTTCCTCTGTTCCACAGGTCCGTTCCAATGTTCCACAGGTCCGTTCCTCTGTTCCACAGGTCCGTTCCAATGTTCCACAGGTCCGTTCCAATGTTCCACAGGTCCGTTCCTATGTTCCACAGGTCCGTTCCTATGTTCCACAGGTCCGTTCCTATGTTCCACAGGTCCGTTCCTATGTTCCACAGGTCCGTTCCTATGTTCCACAGGTCCGTTCCTATGTTCCACAGGTCCGTTCCTATGTTCCACAGGTCCGTTCCTATGTTCCACAGGTCCGTTCCTATGTTCCACAGGTCCGTTCCTATGTTCCACAGGTCCGTTCCTATGTTCCACAAGTCCGTTCCTATGTTCCACAGTTCCCTTCCTCTGTTCCACAGGTCCCTTCCTCTGTTCCACAGGTCCCTTCCTCTGTTCCACAGGTCCCTTAATCTGTTCCACAGGTCCCTTAATCTGTTCCACAGGTCCGTTCCTCTGTTCCACAGGTCCGTTCCTCTGTTCCACAGGTCTCTTCACTGTTCCAGGGGTCCCTAGTTCTTGTGGTCTCTTCCTGAGTTCCAGATGTCCGTTCCTCTGTTCCACAGGTCCCTTCCTCTGTTCCACAGGTCCCTTCCTCTGTTCCACAGGTCTCTTCACTGTTCCACAGGTCCCTAGTTCTTCTGGTCTCTTCCTGAGTTCCACAGGTCCGTTCTAATGTTCCACAGGTCCGTTCCTCTGTTCCACAGGTCCTTTCCTCTGTTCCACAGGTCCCTGCCTCTGTTCCACAGGTCTCTTCACTGTTCCACAGGTCCCTAGTTCTTCTGGTCTCTTCCTGAGTTCCACAGGTCCGTTCCTCTGTTCCACAGGTCCGTTCCTCTGTTCCACAGTTCCGTTCCTCTGTTCCACAGGTCCCTTCCTCTGTTCCACAGGTCCCTGCCTCTGTTCCACAGGTCCCTGCCTCTGTTCCACAGGTCCCTGCCTCTGTTCCACAGGTCCTCACCTCATTCTAACGCAGTTTCCCCTCTTGGTCTTCCCCCCCACACACACAGGGCCCCGGGGACAAATGCGACAGGACCTTCGACAAGAACGGTGACTGCGGGCCGGGGCTCACCTGCGTCCCGCCGCCGTCAGCCGTCCCCAACGCCGTCGAGGGCGTCTGCACCATGCAGTTCCTCGTCACCCACTTCTTCCCCGTCAAGCCAGTGGGGTCGTTGGAACAACAGTGAACACTGCGCGGCTAGAACAACGGCCACAGCGCATTCGCTGCTAATACAGTAATGAAATAGATCATCGGTGAACAGCGTCGAGTACAACGAGTCAACGCGTGTCTACAACACCAACGGGGAATGGCGCGAATGCAGCAACGGTCAACGAACCGTTCACCGTTGCTGATTCACTCTCGCAAGGCGACTGTGTTCGTCCCTAACGCAATAACTATACCAATCCTGACGGTTGAGTTGTGGAGCAGTTTAAAATTCAAACATTTGAATTCCTGTTTTGAATTATTGTCTAAATTCACCACTCTTAAGGAATCCTGCTCTGGGCCCTTTTTCTATTAGGCTTTACCAATGATGTATACCTTCTATTAGGCTTTATCGATGATGTATACCTTCTATTAGGCTTTACCAATGATGTATACCTTCTATTAGGCTTTACCAATGATGTATACCTTCTATTAGGCTTTACCAATGGGGGTATACCTTCTATTAGGCTTTACCAATGGTGTATACCTTCTATTAGGCTTTATCGATGATGTATACCTTCTATTAGGCTTTACCAATGATGTATACCTTCTATTAGGCTTTACCAATGGGGTATACCTTCTATTAGGCTTTATCAATGGGATATACTTTTTATTAGGCTTTACCAATGGGGTATATCAATTATCAAATTTAATTTGTAATAAGCTCGTAGATAGTCTATATAGCATATTGATATATACTTTGTTATTTTAATTTGTGAATTTGTGGTTTTAATGTTGTTATATAGAAGCCATGTTTCTTAGATAAAATTTTAAAATGTCCATATTTTTTTTATTGGCCGTTCTTAGGGGAAATGGAATAGTGTTTTTGAGGCGGCGAGGTTATGTTACGTTATTAACCAGTTCTTGTTACCGTTATCAAGCAATTCCTAAAGAAAAAGCCCTCTTCCTGAAGATGAAGGCGAGAGGCCTATATATAGGCTGTTTAGCTTAACTTATTAGTCCCCCCCCCCAATAACACAACCCATCAATCGGTTTACAACCAGGTCCCCAATTATCGTGGTGGCCACCTGTTACAGATTACCAATTTGTTCGCCCACGTGTGTTTGAAAGATATGATGATTGGTTGGTTAGTTTAGAAGGGCCGTTGATTGGTCGCCCTACAGTCGAGGGCGGAGCCTAGCTTGGTGTGTTTTTATTTGTGTTTGGGGAAAAAAAAGAGAAGCGAGTCGAGCGTATGTGAACCCGAGGGCTAGAGAGAGAGAGAGAGAGAGTGTGGAAAGAATGGTGTGAGGAACCCTTAAGAATCATTTTATTTAACATTTGAAGAATTGTCACAGAATTTTTCAGCGAATTCTCTCTGAAATCAGATGGCGTGGATGCTGAAATTCAGTAAGTACTGTTCTCTCCCGTGTTTCTGTTTATACTTGTTAGTTGTTTAATTGTGGGTGGGGAATAGATAACCAAATCATGATCCCCGTGGCGCAGGGGTAAAACACTCGCTCAGCGCTTCGCGAGCGCTTTGACCTAGGTTCGTATCCTGGCCAGGGAGGATTGACTGGGGGGGCCAGTCCTTAACTGTAGCCTCTGTCCACCCAACAGTAATATGGGTACCTGGTTGTTAAACGATTTGGCGGGTCGTATTCCGGGAACATTAGGATTAAGGACCTGCCCGAAACGCTACGAGTGCTAGTGGCTGTACAAGAATGTAACAACTCTTGTATATATATAAACAAATAATAAATAAATGGTAGTGGTAGACTGATAGTAATGGGTGTGGTAGACTGATAGTAATGGGTGTGGTAGACTGATAGTAATGGGTGTGGTAGACTGATAGTAGTGGGTGTGGTAGACTGATAGCAGTGGGTGTGGTAGACTGATAGCAGTGGGTGTGGTAGACTGATAGCAGTGGGTGTGGTAGACTGATAGTAGTGGGTGTGGTAGACTGATAGCAGTGGGTGTGGTAGACTGATAGCAGTGGGTGTGGTAGACTGATAGTGGGTGTGGTAGACTGATAGCAGTGGGTGTGGTAGACTGATAGCAGTGGGTGTGGTAGACTGATAGCAGTGGGTGTGGTAGACTGATAGCAGTGGGTGTGGTAGACTGATAGCAGTGGGTGTGGTAGACTGATAGCAGTGGGTGCGGTAGACTGATAGCAGTGGGTGTGGTAGACTGATAGCAGTGGGTGTGGTAGACTGATAGTAGTGGGTGCGGTAGACTGATAGCAGTGGGTGTGGTAGACTGATAGTAGTGGGTGTGGTAGACTGATAGTAATGGGTGTGGTAGACTGATAGTAGTGGGTGTGGTAGATTGATAGTAGTGGGTGTGGTAGACTGGTAGCAGTGGGTGTGGTAGACTGATAGTAATGGGTGTGGTAGACTGATAGTAATGGGTGTGGTAGACTGATAGTAGTGGGTGTGGTAGATTGATAGTAGTGGGTGTGGTAGATTGATAGTAGTGGGTGTGGTAGACTGATAGCAATGGGTGTGGTAGACTGATAGCAGTGGGTGTGGTAGATTGATAGTAGTGGGTGTGGTAGACTGATAGTAGTGGGTGTGGTAGACTGATAGTAGTGGGTGTGGTAGACTGATAGTAGTGGGTGTGGTAGACTGATAGTAGTGAGTGCGGTAGACTGATAGCAGTGGGTGTGGTAGACTGATAGCAGTGGGTGTGGTAGACGTGTCGCAGCTGTGGTGGTGGGGGGAGTGATGCTGCCACTGGTCATATACGAATTATCCCTCTCATGCTTTCGTGGAAATTTCTTGAGGAAATGCCTTGTGAATTATGGAGCCGCCTGTGGGCACCTGACGCTGGTCGGGGGGTCCTGTACTAGAATGGTGTGGGGGGGCTGGAGAATGGTGTGGGGGGGGGCTGGAGAATGGTGTGGGGGCTGGAGAATGGTGTGTGGGGGGCTGGAGAATGGTGTGGGGGGGGCTGGAGAATGGTGTGGGGGCTGGAGAATGGTGTGTGGGGGGCTGGAGAATGGTGTGGGGGGGCTGGAGAATGGTGTGTGGGGGCTGGAGAATGGTGTGGGGGGGGCTGGAGAATGGTGTGTGGGGGGGGCTGGAGAATGGTGTGGGGGGGGGGGCTGGAGAATGGTGTGGGGGGGGCTGGAGAATGGTGTGGGGGGGCTGGAGAATGGTGTGTGGGGGGCTGGAGAATGGTGTGGGGGGGCTGGAGAATGGTGTGGGGGGGCTGGAGAATGGTGTGGGGGGGGCTGGAGAATGGTGTGGGGGGGCTGGAGAATGGTGTGGGGGGGCTGGAGAATGGTGTGGGGGGGCTGGAGAATGGTGTGGGGGGGCTGGAGAATGGTGTGGGGGGCTGGAGAATGGTGTGGGGGGGCTGGAGAATGGTGTGGGGGGGGCTGGAGAATGGTGTGGGGAGCTGGAGAATGGTGTGGAGGGGCTGGAGAATGGTGTGTGGGGGGCTGGAGAATGGTGTGGGGGGGCTGGAGAATGGTGTGTGGGGGGCTGGAGAATGGTGTGGGGGGGCTGGAGAATGGTGTGGGGAGCTGGAGAATGGTGTGGAGGGGCTGGAGAATGGTGGAGAATGGTGTGGGGGGGCTGGAGAATGGTGTGTGGGGGGCTGGAGAATGGTGTGGGGGGGGCTGGAGAATGGTGGGGGGGGGCTGGAGAATGGTGTGTGGGGGGGCTGGAGAATGGTGTGGGGGCTGGAGAATGGTGTGGGGGCTGGAGAATGGTGTGGGGGGCTGGAGAATGGTGTGGAGGGGCTGGAGAATGGTGTGTGGGGGGCTGGAGAATGGTGTGGGGGGGGCTGGAGAATGGTGTGTGGGGGGCTGGAGAATGGTGTGTGGGGGGGCTGGAGAATGGTGTGTGGGGGGGCTGGAGAATGGTGTGTGGGGGGGTTAGAGAATGGTGTGTGGGGGGGCTGGAGAATGGTGTGTGGGGGGGCTGGAGAATGGTGTGTGGGGGGGCTGGAGAATGGTGTGTGGGGGGGCTGGAGAATGGTGTGTGGGGGCTGGAGAATAATGTGGGGGGCTGGAGAATGGTGTGGAGGGGCTGGAGAATGGTGTGTGGGGGGCTGGAGAATGGTGTGGGGGGGCTGGAGAATGGTGTGGGGAGCTGGAGAATGGTGTGGAGGGGCTGGAGAATGGTGTGTGGGGGGCTGGAGAATGGTGTGGGGGGGCTGGAGAATGGTGTGTGGGGGGCTGGAGAATGGTGTGGGGGGGCTGGAGAATGGTGTGGGGGGCTGGAGAATGGTGTGGGGGGCTGGAGAATGGTGTGGAGGGGCTGGAGAATGGTGTGTGGGGGGCTGGAGAATGGTGTGTGGGGGGCTGGAGAATGGTGTGTGGGGGGCTGGAGAATGGTGTGTGGGGGGGGCTGGAGAATGGTGTGTGGGGGGGCTGGAGAATGGTGTGTGGGGGGGCTGGAGAATGGTGTGTGGGGGCTGGAGAATGGTGTGGGGGGCTGGAGAATGGTGTGGGGGGGGCTGGAGAATGGTGTGTGGGGGGCTGGAGAATGGTGTGTGGGGGGGGGCTGGAGAATGGTGTGTGGGGGGGCTGGAGAATGGTGTGTGGGGGGGGCTGGAGAATGGTGTGGGGGGGCTGGAGAATGGTGTGTGGGGGGGGGCTGGAGAATGGTGTGTGGGGGGGCTGGAGAATGGTGTGTGGGGGGGCTGGAGAATGGTGTGTGGGGGCTGGAGAATGGTGTGTGGGGGGCTGGAGAATGGAGTGTGTGTGGGGGGGCTGGAGAATGGGTGTGGAGAATGGTGTGTGGGGGGCTGGAGAATGGTGTGTGGGGGGGCTGGAGAATGGTGTGTGGGGGGGGGGCTGGAGAATGGTGTGTGGGGGGCTGGAGAATGGTGTGTGGGGGGGCTGGAGAATGGTGTGTGGGGGGCTGGAGAATGGTGTGTGGGGGGCTGGAGAATGGTGTGGGGGGGCTGGAGAATGGTGTGTGGGGGGCTGGAGAATGGTGTGTGGGGGGGCTGGAGAATGGTGTGGGGGGGGGGGGGGGGGGGCTGGAGAATGGTGTGGGGGGGGCTGGAGAATGGTGTGGGGGGCTGGAGAATGGTGTGGGGGCTGGAGAATGGTGTGGAGGGGCTGGAGAATGGTGTGTGGGGGCTGGAGAATGGTGTGGGGGGCTGGAGAATGGTGTGGAGGGGCTGGAGAATGGTGTGTGGGGGGCTGGAGAATGGGTGTGGGGGGGCTGGAGAATGGTGTGTGGGGGGCTGGAGAATGGTGTGTGGGGGGGCTGGAGAATGGTGTGTGGGGGGGGGGCTGGAGAATGGTGTGTGGGGGGCTGGAGAATGGTGTGGGGGGGCTGGAGAATGGTGTGTGGGGGGCTGGAGAATGGTGTGTGTGGGAGCTGGAGAATGGTGTGGGGGGGCTGGAGAATGGTGTGGGGGGGCTGGAGAATGGTGTGGGGGGCTGGAGAATGGTGTGGGGGGGCTGGAGAATGGTGTGTGGGGGGGCTGGAGAATGGTGTGGGGGGCTGGAGAATGGTGTGGGGGGGCTGGAGAATGGTGTGATGGTGTGTGGGGGGCTGGAGAATGGTGGTGTGGGGGGGCTGGAGAATGGTGTGGGGGGCTGGAGAATGGTGTGGGGGGCTGCAGAATGGTTGTGGGGGCTGCAGAATGGTGTGGGGGGCTGCAGAATGGTGTGGGGGGCTGCAGAATGGTGTGGGGGGCTGGAGAATGGTGTGGGGGGCTGCAGAATGGTGTGGGGGCTGGAGAATGGTGTGGGGGGCTGCAGAATGGTGTGGGGGGCTGCAGAATGGTGTGGGGGGCTGCAGAATGGTGTGGGGGGCTGCAGAATGGTGTGGGGGGCTGCAGAATGGTGTGGGGGGGCTGGAGAATGGTGTGGGGGGGCTGGAGAATGGTGTGGGGGGGCTGGAGAATAGAGAACTCACATATATTTGATTGGCGAGTATTTAGTTTTCAAATGAGTACTTGTGCTATAAAGCTTTTAAGCTTTTTCTGACAAACAGATTTTTAATTTCATCAGTTTGGAATAGTTTTTTTCCCGCTCACTGGCGGATACAAATGTCTTCAGACTCCTGTTGGCAGACTGACAGCTTTCTCATCCCACAACTCATGATAAGCCTTACCTCACTCGTTTTCCCTGGAACACAACCCACCAATTGGTTAACAACCACCCAATTACTGTTGGATGAACAGCGGTGTACAGTTAGGCATTGCCGCCCTAGTCAAGCCTCCCTGTCCAGGACTCGAACACCAACAAAATCATGCGTTGGGTTCTCAGGTGTTCGGATCTCTTGGTGTTGGGGCTTAGGACCTATGAATCTCTATGGTATAAATAGGGTACAGCGTCAGTATATACACCTAGGAATGGGGTAGACCTTTGTGAATAATTGGAACGTATTACAATAGAGCAGACGACATTCTAGGGCGAGTCCATCGCTGGCTAAGGCCACCCTGCATCCGTTTTCTTTGAGAATTATATTAATCTTTCTCGTTACAGGGGATGAATAACGAAGCTCTGCTTTTTACTTTAATGACTTCATTGGTCTGTAAAAGGATCATAAGAGTGAAAGAATTATTAAGTGATGAGCGTGTGTGTGAGAGACAGACAGACAGAGAGACAGACAGACAGAGAGACAGACAGACAGAGACAGACAGACAGAGAGACA